AGAAACTGTTATGTTTCAAAGAAACAGCAACTATTGGCTATGTATATTTTCTGGAAGAAACAGTTTATAGTCGCTAAAACAGCCATTCATTTTGTGCTACTATGGTCCACTACCTTTAAAAAAACTTCATACCAGGTTTTTAGTGTTTCTACCCCCTCAAAATCCCTTTTACATTGACAATTTCAGTCCATAAAAACTATTCTAGTAGCATTTTGTTCTTTTGAACTTCCATGATTGAATGATACTACAGGTGTCATTTTACGATGCCTTTGGCGTTAATTTAGAGTTATGGATAGCACTGATATTCGTTGGAATAAAGCAATATGATTGGCTCATTAGAATGATTCAAATTTAAAAATGGTTACTCCCTTGAAATCAGTCTGTTCCTTTCTGTGTTTTGGCTTCAGACCAGTGTAATGTACTACTACTACTATTTGAATGATTTAAGCATCTAACTGGCCAATCAGATTGCTTGATACCATGCACCATAATAACACCATTATGATCCCTAACTATGCCAATGTCACTCTAAAATGCCCAGGCAACAAACACCTGTGAGTTACTACTACTACCGTATCGTAATTACGTTTCACACATTCCAAATGTTAGCACAATAGGTCCTCTGTGTAGGAATGAGCACTGCCGTTTTTTAATTGAATTAATTTTCTGAATGCTTTACTTAAAATTCTGAATGTTAGCGGGGAATGTGTCCTCTTCTTCCTCTTTTTTAGGAAACAAGACCAAAATTATTGGTTTTTGGATGCTGGTGCACTAACAAATGAAGAAGAAGGGGGATTATATCAGGATCTACRCAGACTTATAGTGATATGATAGTAACATTCCAATTGTTAAACCTGACATTGGGAACATTAAGTTAGCATTGGGAATCATAATTCTAACAACATTCAGAATGACCTTTGAAACATGATTTGCTTCCCAGCAGTCACCAACAGAACTAATGTATCATATGAAGTACAGGGGACGGTAAAGTACAAGAACTATGAACTTCATAAATGACAGATTGAGAGATGAATTTTATCAAAATTCATGATATGGTAGAGAAATAGAAGTACAAGTAATTTGTAATTTCAGAACTGTTGTATTATGTGATATACTTGGTAAGCTACTACTCACACAGACACCGACAGCCAGACTCTGATAGCAGGACTCCTCTGATAGCAGGACTCCTCTGATAGCAGGACTCCTCTGATAGCAGGACTCCTCTGATAGCAGGACACTGATAGCAGGACACTGATAGTAGCAGGACACTGATAGTAGCAGGACACTGATAGTAGCAGGACACTGATAGTAGCAGGACACTGATAGTAGCAGGACACTGATAGCAGGACACTGATAGCAGGACACTGATAGCAGGACAATGATAGCAGGACAATGATAGCAGAACACTGATACAAGTTGTTCAGAAGCCGCTGATACTACTACAGAGGAGGACGCTGATACAGTACAAATAAATAATAACAGTACAAAATGAGTGTACTGTGTGTACTCAAATTTTTGTATTCTGGTTCAGTCAAACTACTAGCATTATTATGCCAAAAACCGGGTCAGACGAGAATACTATTTTTGGAATACAGTAATCCTGTGAGYAGGCATGTGCTTCATTGAGGTGCAAGAAATAAGACAAAAAATAGCTATTGTTTCTTACTGCAAGATAAGTACACTATGAGTGCCTATTACTCTAGTATTTTAACAATACTAAGTGTGTTTGAGGACAAAGTTGAAATTGTTCATGAGTAGGAGATAGAAGGCCGAAATGATTTGTCACAATCATTTTCAAGGATTCCCATYTAATAGACTGATAGGCGCATTCAGAGGCAAGAGATTGAAAAAAGAAACCACTTTGTACACTAATGGTGTCTAGTATGCCTKCTTCTCAATCTGACATTCGCTATCACTGATCACCAAGCTTCGAAAGAGACGTCGATTGCTATCTGAATTCGGTCGAGCCTTAGTTGCAAAAGAATTTATCTGGACAAGGGCGAACGCATTACTCATCACGTTGCGTAAATTGAAGGCTTACAGTAGCGCTCTCTACGATGAAACTCGTTACCAACAAATCGAATCATGTCGTTGCACTGACACCAGGGAAAGATCGACTTTTCAAGAGCGTTCTATAAACCAATGTATCAAAACGCTTGTGGCTGAGCAAGCCAAGACGGATTGGTGGGTCGCCATCGTCATTGATCAAGGACGCCAGGCTCTGACCCATCAGTGGACCCCATGTTATGCCCCAAGGGCCACCTCCTGTTGCGATGTATGCATTGTCCAATAGTTTTCCGACGATAGGAACATTGTCCGGCGTCATGGGACGTAGACAAGCCTGCGTTGTGTCGGGCTGAGGGTTACCTTCACTGATATCAGTAGAGTAGCGATGATCATATCCAGCTTTTTCGAGGCTGGCCCTGGCGGCGGAGGCTCGAGTCGCATCCGGTGGGCAATCTACGTTAGGAGACGGTCGTTCGGTGCTTCGCAAGCAACGGGTGCCAATGACCTGAGATTCTCCACAACCCGAAACGTAAAGTGATCGATCCTTGCGACCGAATACTTCCAAGTGACAACCATTAGAATCCTCRTCGAAAAAGAAAGCCGTACCGGAGTCCGAGGCAGGAATCCCGTCTTGGTATATCAAAGAAGTAGAKAGTACGCCCTCTATTGGCATGGGAATTCCAAGCCAGTCTTCTATCCGACAGGACCAGGGACCGAGAGCTATTACGACGGCTTCGTCTTCTTCGATTACGATGGGCTTTGATTCTGACCCATCCTCGCTATTTTCTAGTTGAATTCCTTTGATAAAGCGTCCGGAGGAATCGAGTTCTAAACCAGAAATGTTTGCTTGTCGAAAGCAACAATTACCTTGCGACAAAACTTTTTCAAGCATGGCATTGGTGAGTTCCGCCGGATCAAGTAGGGCCGCAGCTCCTGATAATGGTTTTGCTCCTTCATTCTCCCCAAGGCTAGTCAACCACGAATGCAGTGTGTCTTCTGGATCATCGAAAGAAATATCGTTTTTGTCATCGGCATTTGTCTCTTTCGTTTGGATCGTTCGATAGTTGTGAACTCGACAGAATGATTCAAGACTCAAATCTTTGGCCAGTTCTTCGTGGAGTTCGAACGACTTCTCGAAGAGGAATCGACGTTTGTCGTCAACATTGTTGCCTTTGCCAATGCCTCTCCGAAACGAAGGAGGTCGATTGGTAATGAATGCGCCAGCTTTTCCCGACGAACAGGCAGCAGGCCCAGCAGCATCCAATAAGGTTATCGGCGTTTTCCCAGAGCTAACACTYAGATAGTATGCTGTAGCTACTCCTGCGACCCCTGCTCCGACGATCACGACCATATCCTTTCTGATTCGGTGTAGTTCCGTCTACGAGTAGTGCGCGTGTTGTGGGATAACACTTTCTGTCTAGCATCGGATTTTTCATTCGTCGCGAYAAGCTTCGTGCCGGTATCGGTACGTCCGTCAAGGCAGGAATAGTACGAGTACCTGGTACTACAAGAAGTACGTACCGGTACGTACTCGAGGCATTACTGTAGGAAAAGAATAGAGCTTACTGCATTCATATTTCATATTTGTATGCATCTATTTATTACGTACGTAGGTCTCTGTATCGTATWTTCGAAATCTCAGCTGAATATTTATTAAGCCCTCTTATACGTCATAAAAAGGTCATTGATGACCCATTGCATTACAGTACTTACGGATACGAAGTACGAAGTACTTCTACTTTACTRTTCTTATTTTTAACGAACAAGTCGTATGGAATTCTCTCGTTACGGAAGTGTACCGGAAGGTACAGTACCGTGATTTACGAGTGCTGTTCTATCCAACTAGAAGATGTATCGCACCCTTCTACTTCCAAGGGATTCCAAGGGAAGAAGTACCGGGTAACGTCTCAACCATAGACTGTATGAGTCGTARCAGTTGTCTTGCCAAGTACACTAAACCATTCTGGTCAGTGTTGAGTGCCTTTRCATTGCCAAGGCCGCCTCTTCTATCTCCACAAGCAATATCATTCTTCCATTCATTCGAACCGTTTGTAACAAAGACAAAAAGATTTGTTTGTAAAGAAATCATTGCAGCGTCGAGCATCAACAACTACTGAGYKTTCGTGTCATTTCGAAGAATCGCGTCAGCACAATCATTTCAATCCAAAAGGAAAGGGTGTCGAGTGATTATAAAAGGCGAAAAGTAAAATGGAGGATGTAAGTCTGAGTGGWTTTTGTTTCGKTTGCGTTSCTCCTGATCTAAACGAGCCGATATTCAATTTGACATAGATTCCTCCCGCCTACACCGCATCGTACTAATTATTCTGTTCGTTTGCCGCGGAAATTCGCGTCGTCTCGAAACCAAATCATTTCTGTACACACTCCATTAGGAACAACGCTGCATGGCAGATTTGCCACCTACAAGGGAGCTGATTGGTTTGAAGCTTCCGTTTGGTGCTTGGGAGCCCGATACTCTCATCACGGACACGTATGGAAACCCTATATTTTCAGTGCTCGACGTCCAGCACCAGGCAATGGGAGCTTTTGAAGCTATATTCGGCGACGAAAACGGACACAAGCTTTGTTACGTGAAGCGACGACTCATCACAAAACCAGCGCTGGACGGTTGGGATTTTTGTACCTATGCGCCAAACTTTCCAGATCAACCAAAATACAAAGAGCGAGATATGTATGGGAAGTCGGTGTATCCTTTTTCGTTCCTTTCCATTCGTCCCATGAAGTGCCGATATGCATACTCTGTCCACAACGAAGATATGGAGCGAGTGGATACGCTACTCGAGGCGATGCACGGCTGGCTGGGGACCATGACCGTATGTTGCACCCCGATGGTTCGCTTTGGAAAATGGCAACTCGATTTCCACCGGCCTGGAGCTGGAGATCCCGAAATCAACATAGACCAGTCGAAGAATTTGCTCGAAGTCGAGCGTGGGAACGATTTGTTGGCCGCACTCTGTATAGCATACGCATTCGACAAAGCTTTATGTCAGCCCATGGTCACAATTGTAGGGTACGCAGAAAAAGAACACGTGGACGACGACGATGACGATTCGTTGGAAGACTTTGATCCAGCTGTAGTAGCATCTAGTTCCAAGCATCTAGTATCTCAGAGCTATCGCTCTCTCAATAGTGGTGGTTATGCTAAAGACGGCAGCATTAGGGACTTAAAYAAGGGTGACATTGATGGATATTAYGAAGAGTACCCTGATGATGATGAAGATGGGGATGGYTATTATGATGAAAATGGTGAATACATTGGCTACGATAATAATGGTGACTACGACGGTGAAGGTGGAGAATACAATGAATACGGGGATTATTACAATGAAGAGTACGATGACGATGCAGAAGATGAATCTGTTGATTCGGCAGACGAGAGCTACGAAGAATATATCAAGAGAAGAAGATAATTGAGAAATTCAAGGTACCAATATACTGTGCTACAGACAGAAAAGTGTTCACGGAATACACACAAAGCCATTGAATACTGTATTACTACGGATATCATAACAAGTGATCGCGGCACTAAGAAAGTGGTTCCTATCATTAATTTAATGATGTCATCATTATTTTTCAGTACAAAATCTACAGAGCTATACCGTACTGAGTGTTGCTCCCCAAAATCTTCAGCATTCAGCATGATTTGCCTTCTGATAAAGAAGCAGGATTGGTTCTCCACCACCAGAATAGTTGCAAACTGCCTCAGTACATTTTGTACTGTGTTCTACCGCACTAAGGATGGCATCGTTAAATTAATGATGGGAACCACTTTCTTAGTGCCGTTATCACTTGTTATAATATCTGTAGTAATAGGGTTTATTTTCATGTGTGAAAATTAAAATAATTTTTTATCTAGCGCATGCACATCTATAGTACTTCGTATTTAGGAGTACTAATTCTATSCGTTCTACATACTAGTAATATTTTATTTGGGGGTTCTTGAAAGAAACTACTTGAGGATGAGTGTTACTGCTGTGTAAATAAGGGCACTTTCAAAAATGAACACAAAACTGAAAGGAGTCTTTGGATGGCCATCAAAGTAAAWGGAAGTTGTATTGTATGTAGTACAAGTGCAGCATCTATGATTTTATGTAGTACTACTAGGGAAGAGTTTGCAAGTTTGATACRACTTTGTTACTCTCTGTGATCTTCTATCTGGTGATATCAATTCTGGATTCTGGAACTGTAAACTTGTGTGCATACTACGCTTAATGTACAGTACCTGGAACCATGTTGATATCATTTTTTGGAAAAAGATTTTCTCAGAGGAACTCCCTTTTTTAATTAATGCCTCTATKTGAAATGTGGTTGCTTTTGATCACACACAAAATGTGATAAAATCAGATCACTAAATTACTGAATTTCTTGATCACAATTTTTTGCAATCACAATTTTGATCACTTTTTTCTGAACTGATGACAATTCATAAGGTTTTGTCATACATTAACATTTATTTTCCATAGTAGTAGTAGCAAGAAGAAGTCACATGCCGCATGGTGTGGTGCATCATCATATTGTTATGTACTACTTATGGCACTACTACTAGTCCTGTCATGGCCCCTACTACTACTAGTAGTGGTTGTAAAATACTATTATTGAAAATAATATATGAAGATCTAATTGATACTGGGACTACTACTAGTAGTAGCAATTTTACATAGACCAGTTAARATTTGTGATCAATTTTGATCACAAACCAGCAATCACAAAAGGATTTTTTTGTCAAAAAGTTGTGATCAAATCAATTGCAATTTTCAATATCAGGAAGGGGGTCATGGAAACTCATATTTCCCCCCAAAATCAAAATYGACATTTTTCCTGTACTGTAGTACAAAGTACCGTATGGTACGAGGTACGAACCCTAATGAGGTGGAGACAGGTCCAGAGCCAGTACAAATTTCACACAGCTCTATGGAGGGTGCAAACAATACACCTCATTTGGGTTCCTGACTTGAACCTGTCTCAAGATTAAAAAACCACCAAGTATTTTACATTGAAATATTTGGTAGTAGTACTAATTTGTACATACTAGACTACTACTACTACTAGTAGTAGGATTGCTACAACAATACTGATATGGAAAACTCCTCTAATAAAAAAACACTTGTGGGTTGATTGATCTGAGCATTTTGGATACTCTTCTTCTTATTTTGATGAAGTTATTCCACTATATGTGTGGAGGGGAAGTGTCMCCAATAGCTCTGTCTGGAGGGTGAGACAAACCTTGTGCTGGTGTTTTTTCCTGACTACCAGTAAAAACTGCGATTTTATGGTATTCATAACCACCTA